GTATACTCGAAAAAGCAATGTTGCCACTTTTCCTCTTTAAACCATGTTCGAATCGTGGAAATTTTGGAAGATCACAGGGTTGCTTTTAGCATTTAGATTCTTAATGCAAAAATGGAGTTGCATTTAGTTGCATTTAGGTGACGAATTTTGTATGGATAAATGTACATTTAGAGTAGCATTTAGAGCTAAATGCGCTAAATGTGCTTTTACGCGTAAGCAAAAACAGCCTATAAGCGACAGGAACACGGCTGCATACGATTTCGAACTCGCGTAAATGTACATTTGCTAAATGCGACAGCATGAACGCTCTTCGAAAACATATGTTCGAAAGTGCTTAATGTTGCATTTTAAATGCAACAAAAACGCTGCATAAACCCGACACATTGTGCAAACTTAAAAGTGACAAATGTTCCTCTGCCTGGAAGCCGCCTGGAATCTAAATGCTAACCTGTCAAAATGTAAAACTATCCTGCCAAAATGTTAGACAGGGTGTTTAAAGTGATGTAAAAAAGGCAAAAGTTATTAAAATAAAGTAAAAAAAATTGGCAAAATATGCATTTAGTTAAATGAATTCCTGCATTTATATGCCATTTTAGTATTTTAAAGCACAATGGGAGTGAAAACTGCAACAGGCAATAAATTGTTTGGAAATAAAAGTAAAGTAGCCTCCATATTATTATATTTGCCGCACTCAAATGCTTTTGTTGAGCGCGTTTTTTCCATAATGAATTCAACGAAAACTAAGATTCGAAATAGGATGAGGCCGGAAAGCCTTAATTCAATAGTTCGAATAAAATGTGCGATAAATCAATTAATATGAGTTATAGTAAATTTAATAATTGCGCAGTCCTATTAGAAAATGTGTTGATACAAATATTTTTAAAAAGTAAGCGTATTTTTAAATAAAATTGTTTGTACTATTATATAAGTGATTTGTGTTATTTATTATTATCCTGAAGGTATTATTCTCGTTTTTTTTAACTGAATTATAAAAAGATCTAATTTTTAAAATAAAGGATTTGTTAAGGCGATTTCATTAATTTTATTTAAAAAACAAATTGGCGATTTACGGCGATTTTTTTTTCCAGAAATGTCGCTTTTTTTAAAACAAACTGGACACCTTAGTATGAGTGAAAAAGTGTGTATGTATTGCTATTGTCGTGACAGTATTGTCCGGTGTAAACCCTAACGCCGCGTGTACATTAGACAATGCTGTCAAGACAATAAAGAAATTCGTATGAGTTGTCAAAAACGCTGATAATTGTTTCCGTGGCGTAGGCGTCCTGACAATAGTTATGACAATTCATTTTGAGAAAAATGTCGGACGTGAACATTTCATTATAATACGCATTTCGTGCGAGCTATTTAAGATAAACACAAAAAAAAATAATAATACTAAAGAAGAGACAAAGTTACAAACACATCAATGTCTCCTACTACTGTAGCACAATCCACAATATTTGACTTACATATTAACAAAATTGCGGCAGGAATTTCAAAATTTCAACCCTGTTTGTGTGAAATATTTTTTTTTTATTAGTACTTTTCTTTTAGTCAATCTATGCTGAAATAAAAGTGAAAATCAAAAAATTTTTAGTCAGAACTCCCCGAAAAAAAATCCTGGCTACGGCCCTGTTCATAGTCGAAATAAAGTTAGTTGCAGTTTTTTTTACAGGTATTCCCCTGAAAGTTATCGACTTTATTTAGACCATGAATATGTTCCAATATTTTTTAAATGTTACATGCATGTCCATTACGGTGGTCCAAAAATGCATGTGAAAAAGTAAAATCGGAATTCTTATGCTCTCACCCCCTAGGATTTAGAACCCGACAAAAATATACCCTTATTTTTTTATTTTGAAATCAAAAAATATTTAGAGGTCGCTCAAAGCGCCTAAAGTTTTCCATGTATTTCAAATGGGGGAAAATGGTATAGAATAGTTAAAAATTAATATTTTTCTTCCGGAAAACTATGTTTATCTGCAGGAGATTCCCAGTAATAATACCCAATTGTTTATTTAACTATTTTTTCATTGCAACTATCATTTTTAGGTCCGCTAAAAACCCACAAAAACCCCGAAAAATGCAATTGGGCGACCAATAAAAAATCGTTAGTATTAAAAAATCGTTAAATAGACAAATGGGTGTTATTATTGAAAGTCTCCTGAGGAGAACCAGAGTTTTCCTATCGAAAAATATTGACTTTCAAGAATTCTGTACAATTTCTACAAAAAAGTTTATTTTGCCCATATAAAAATACATGGAAAACTTTGAGCGCTTTGAGCGACCTCTAAATATTTCTTTGATTTCAAAATAAAAAAATAGGGGTATACTTTTTTCGATATAGAACAATCCTAGGGGGTGAGAGCATTACAATTCCGACTTTACTGTTTTCGGACCACCCTAATGTCCATCCCTATCAACAGTACATATAAAAAATTGCTTCAATTTTTCGCCGAGCAAAACATAAACAACGACCTCTGTATGCTAGAAAAGTCATGCAAATGATAATAACGGCACGTTATGTCTATGGCTAATAGATTATTCGTCCTCATACTACTATCAATTAAGCTAGGCTTTGTATGCACATAGTATGAACACGAAAACATGAAACATTCATGAATTTATGTTTGTACTAATTTGAATGCGTGCAAATCATTTCTCCCAGTTCTGAACAGTGACTTGCTCATTTTATTCAGTACATGTGCATATGTACATTCATTCATTCATTCATTCTATATAGATAATTATTAATCTGAACCGTTTATTTTGAAAGGGGCATAAGTCTTTTCCAACTCTTGGTTGGTTACTTCCAGCTGGGTGCATCTGTAATTCGTTCTATCGTCATAAACTAATGACAAAATTTTTACATTTGGCTGATGAAGTTGCGTCTGTTACGCATTCAGATATATGTATAGCTAAATGATAACTGAATTCAATCGGCATGAAATGCTTTATGCCACTTTCAAAATAAATGGCACACACCTATGTATGTATGTATGTATGTATGTATATTGAATTAAAATGTATTCTAATATTTTTCGAATATTTTTAATGGTCTTTACTGAAATCGATCTTTTATTTGCTCTAGTGGTGGTATTCATGTCAAGCTCATTATTGTCGTAATTTGATATTCTGTAGCTGTTTGATGTACTTTGGTTTTGTAATTACGCTGTTAATTGACAAATACCGCATTACGACAAGAATATTGGCCTAGGCTGAATTATCTACGATATGAAAATGATTTACCCACATATATACATATGTAGATACGCACATACGTATTTACATTAGAGTGGGTCGTATGAGTGGGTTTTTCAACAATTAAGTCCCGATAGGATAAGCGGACGGCGTTCCCTTCAGTCTTCAGAGCCAAAAAAAAAAACATACAAAAATTAGAAAACACAAAACAATGGCTCATCGTTAAATCGTCTGCGGTATTTGCCATCGCCAACGGGCAAAGACTCGTAAATCTTTCGGGCTCGGGTTCGTCTTTTCCAGTACTACTACTGTCGGGCTGCTGACATTCAATAGGATGGAAAATTGTTCGCTCCATAATTTAAGTACGTTCTCGGCATCGGTCACTAGGTCGCCATGGTTGTTCTTACAGGGGTTCACCCTGGTCTTGAAATCTTCCGTAACTGCTATACCCATGAACCAAAAATACGAGATCACGTAAGAACGCGACGTTGTATTTGTAACTGGTTTTGAGAAAAAAGTTTGCGAAAGCGGGTAGGTCAGCTGAGCGTTTGTTTACATCACAAGCACCACTATTTTACACTTTTATCCAAGTAAAGAAGAGTTAATTCAACATGACAACACATTTTAAAGCATTTTGTTGCATCATTTTACCTAAATTGCGCGTTTAAAGTGGCTGACAATAATTTTGGCTAATTTTGGTTTTCGTTGTTTTCTTTGCTTTGTTTACTTTTCGCTCGTTTTCCAGTGAAACAAGATGGCGTAGAATCCGCTAAAAAAAATCGACTTTTTTCACTCTCTTGTTTTTACGTGATCTTTTGTCTTTCGTTCATGGCTATACCTAAACCAAAGCTTTGGGCGGAGCGTTTTCTGGCGACTAGCGTTAACGCCGAAGTGCCATAGCTAACAAAAAGTGTCAACGCTATGTCAAATGCAGAAATAACACCAACAATAATCATAGGTTTGTTTGTGCGAAACACGAAAATGGCAGTTTCTCCGTTTTCTGCAGCTAACTTCACTTTCTAACGCCCTGTCAAAATCGAACTTTCCAACCGCAAAGCGTTGACATCGCGTTGTTTCGGTATGCTTCAAATAAATTGTATGGACATGACAATTTTTAGACAGACAGACAACGCTGAAGGCTCCGTTATGCATACTTGGCATTGCTTGAGCGTTGTCACATAAGGAATCTGTTAAATGAGCTTCGCGTGTAAGCGGTTACCCAACGCACAGCATTACATACGTAAAAGTCTGTTGGTTTTTGATTTCTACGTAAAAATGGTATAGCAGTGCATGCAATGCCAAGTATGCATAACAGAGCCTTTACTCTTTTGTTTAGGTATGGCAGTAAGTCGCCTAACTCTCTGATAACATTTTCAGTCATTTCCTAACGCTATTTTGGCCTCTCTTTTCTTATTGCGGCAAATACATCCCGCTTCCTTTTTCAGTTTCCATCAGTAATGGAAAATCAAAATTTAAAATTGGGCCTATTTTTTTCGAAAAAACAGGTAACCTTTGTGTTATTTAGCTTTATTTTCATTGTTGTAAACTATAACAAGCTGGTTGCTTTTGGATATAATTCATAGACGTATATTTTACACTCTAGAAAATAATTTATGCAACTCCACATACGCGGTTTTGTTTATACGCGGTTTTGTACTTTAAACGACGATATGTATAATAAGTATGTGTTGGAAGCATGTGTAAGAATCAATCATAACATCAAAGCATAAAAGCGCTATGTATGTACTCGTATATGCATACCTCTGTATGTATGTACGTATGCATGTATCTGTTTTTATGATAAGTAATCTTTTCTAATCTGCTGGTAACCACTTGATGAAGATCACTTACCGCCTTGACATTTCTACGTAGCGTTGTGAAGAGTTCATTGCCCATAGAGTTGAACTTTACTATTGATGGCCGATAATTTATATTCAAATTCAAATTAGGAAACAGGTTGGCTATGAAATCAAGTGCTCTGAAAAAAAGTACAAAACAAGGAAAATAAGACTTTATTCATTTGTAATGCATATTTAATATAAGTGCATGTGTACTTAAAAACACATACATACATACATATCGTTACCTTTAATATAGAAAGGCCCTATTTCACATCGTCGCTGAAATACAAAAGGCCGTTATGATATAGTATACGGGACAGTCCTCATTTTTTACCTATTGTCCTGGTAATATATTTAAATTATACGGGACGCCAATTTTCTATATTTCTTTTAATGTCTTAAAAGCTCATTAAAATGGCATGCCTATGAACGAGTTTTAAGTGATGTTGGCATATGACCGTAATTTTCTCCATAAACAGTTATTATTTTCTAATCTCAAAACTTGTGATTCGAATCGAGGAATACATACAGTGACCAAAATAGAAATTAAGACTCGACATTTTAATAGTTTTGGCTATTTTTCCTTAGTATATTTAATGTTTATTATTTATTTTATGAAAGTAAAGCTCTTTTTCTAAACAAAACCATATACATAATATAAAGTTTCCAACTTTGTGCAAAAAACTATAAAAATTAATTCTGCAATGTTTCACCAAAATTTTAAACTTTGTAACTAGAATCTTTAGAAAAAATTTGCTTTGCAATTTTATAACTCATTAAAATTCAGTATAATAAAGTGCGAGTGGAAAGTGCTGCTCATTTTCTTCTCTATCAAAAAAAAAAAAAAAACATGGTCGAACATACTTACTTTGTTTGAACAAAATCCATAACACCGTTAACAAAAAAAAGCCAATAATTAATGATAAGCCTTAGCGACTTGTTTTCAAACAAACAAAAAATTATCCTACAAATTTGTAATGTTACTAAAAGGATACTGTTTCAGGGCTAATATATCTGGGATCATTGAAGAAGGCTTTGAGATTTGTAAGCAGTTGTAGGAAAAATTTGCTAAATTATTTTTTGTCCCGTATTCGGCTCTCATAAATATGGTCACCGGTTTTATAATGCATTTCATCGAATTATAAGTCCGCACATCAATGTAAGCAATAAAAAAATTCTAGTTAGTTACGGTTTTTTTGCATTTCAACGACTATATGAGTTAGGGCGTTTCTATATTAAGGTAACAGAATGTATTTAAATCTATATATTTTTCATATACATAGTACATATCGTCACCTGAAATGCAAAAAGACGTAACCAACACCATCGTTGAAATGCTAAAAGTCATAACTAATAAAAAATTCAAAATTCACTTTTTGATTTATGTATATGATGGATCGAATTACCATTCCCCACATCATTTTACGAAAAAAAATTGAAATATTAGTCACGACTTTTTCCATTTCATTTACGATGTTGTTACGTCTCTTTGCATTTCAGGTGACGATATGCATCTGTGCCGTTTTTTTTTTTAATTAGCCTAAGTCGAGATAAGTCAAAATTGGGTTTTATTTAACAGGTCTATTCTGCACGTTACCGAAGATTTTGTGACCGAAAAATTTTATACCAAAAAATGTTACCACTTCTTGTCACCGCGATTCTAGGTACGTTGGTAATGCAGTGAAAATATTCAGCAAATCAGCTATGAAGATTTGTGGAAATTTCTGTATTGCATATTTCACGGGGCAATATTTTGTTACTAGCAGACACTTTAAATACCGGTTATAAAATTTATGTTACCAGCGCAGAACAGACCTGATAGTATTAATCATTAGAGGAAACCCCTTTGATCTGTATTTTGCTTGTTGTAACTATGTTCTAGTGGTAACTATGAAAAAGTTGTAAGGCTTTACAAAATATCTCAATTCAAAGGGATAAATGTGGCATCAGTTAAAACAACTAATCTTCAGTTGTTATATCTAGCATTTTAAGAGAAATTATTTTATTAAAACAACTTAATCAGTTTATTAAAAAATCCTAATTTCACTTAGGTTTTTTTTTTGGGAAGATTAGTTAATTTTGTCGACGAAATTCGTTCAACAATAGCGGCTGAGTAACAAAATTGGGGTTTGGCCGCCAACGATTCTAATTTTTTTTCCACTCACAACTACCTAGATTATAGAAGATTTGAGCCATTATTTACCTATTATAAAATCCATATTGGTCCAGTAATTAAAATTTAAAGATTTTTCGACATTCATTAAAATTTGAGTTAGGCTATTTTAATTGAACGGCACAGATATGTATGCATGTATGTATGTATGTTTAGTAATTTTAAAGCGTAGTAGCAGTTGATGGAAACCTACATATGTATGTAGACACCCAGCAAACACAGTCTCTAACGTTAGAGAAATTTGGATTTCTGCATTAGATATACCCTAGTTATTCTCTAATCATTCTCGAGTCGATGACGAAGGTAGAGAACTACATTGGAATTCGATTAGAGAAACAACGCAAATTCAAATAAAAATAAATAAGCAATATTCGAAATTAATGAATTATAAATTATTTTAAAGCTCAAATAATTCATTATTATTTTATTGCGAATACATTTAATACAAATTTTGCAAACAAAGCGTTCTATTTAATAAAGCAATACAGTAGTTTGAAACTCACATACGAATCCCGTTAGAGATCAACATTAGAATTCAATTAGAGAATTAATATTTTCTCGAGTCGAGAACTATGTCCCATTTTTGTTGAGATTACTATGATTCTCGATAGTTTTTCCAGTCGTTCTCTAACGTTTGAGATTGGAGAATGTGGCTAGTTCTCCAATCATTCTCTAATCGATAACTAACCTAAATGTTTGCTGGGTATGTACACATACATATGTACGTACATATGTATGTACATTAGACCGCGCCTTATTTGCAACTTTGTCTTACAAAGCAAAACTTCCACCAGAAAGGTCCATTTGCTGAAAAAACGTGACCTGCGACAAATTTTTGAAATCGGATAAGCGAAAGACGTTCCTCAAAGGCCATAAAGTTCACCAAATTCGTGGAATTTTTACAAAGTAGTCGTAATTGCCTATAAGTCAGTGGGAAATTTAATGTTTTAATGGCGCTTGATAGTAGTAGTAGTAGTAGTTTTAGTAGTAGTCGAGTTCCGCTGATAGGGTTCATATGATCGGCGTTAATTTACCAAAGAGAGCAGCGTTATTTTAAGTCATAAAATCCCGAAAAAGGCGAAATCCCGCAAACTGGCAACACTGTTTCCACTCATCTTATACCATGTTCTGACCGACAACGAAAACATGTTTTCGTTGCTTAAACTGGTTTTCGACCTAAAACTTGTGTTTTCGTCAATGTAAAATCTGTCAAACGAAAACAAGTTTTCGCTGAAAACCACTTGAAAACTCATGTTCCACTCATTCCAATCGGTGTCTGCACTAGTTTTTTTCGATTATTTATCGAAGTGGAAGTCATACTTTATCATCTGCAATACGCCATTTCGGATTTATTGTTAATTGGCTGACCAAAATGAAATAAGCATGGAAGTAAAAGGTTGTTAATGAAAAGAAATTGAAGGAAAAGTATTTTGGTTTTGTATTTGTGCAGCAAAACTGTAAACAAAGGATGTAAGAAATGTCAACGAAAACACCAACAGTCGGTGTGAACAGCCTTCAGCACACAATCCCAAAACTGGTTTTCAAGGTGTTTTCGTTGTCGGTCAGAACATTGTATTAGTTTTGTTTGTGCTAAACCAATTCAATAAATGGCGGAATTTGGTATTTATTCTTCTTCTTCTTCTTCTGCTAGCTAATTTCTGCTAGAAAAAAATTTCTCTAGCATGAATTTGCAGTTCTCCCGTGTTGTTACGCTCTTGATTCAGAGCTCTCTTGCAAATTTTTTGGGTTATCATACACTTTTCCAGTAAAAACTTGCAGGTTCCAGCACAAATTAGTACTGACTATGTCGTAAACTTTAAACGCCTAAAATTATATTAACTGGGTTCGCAAAGTACCATCAAAGGCGTATTATGCATTTGCGAAGTGTTAAAAAATAGTTGGTTGGGGTTTCAAGTTTCTTTGTTTATGCATGCCACGCACACAAAATTTGAACTTTTTGCATTTTTTTGATTAACCAGTATTCTGGAAAAACTACAAAGTGGTGTTTCAGTTAAAGTGATGTGTGATGAGCAGGACCGAAAACTTTAGTAAATATGCTTTCAAATATGCTCCAAAAACAACAAAGAATCTAAGTACAGTTTAATGTTTCGTTTTTTATTCAGTTTATTTCAAGGATTGGACGGAATTCGAAATTTTCATATTTCCAGTGCTGTTAATGCATCGATTTAGTTGTCACTTTTTTACTTACTGAATTTAATTGTTTTCAAATATTTGTTATCCTCCATTTGAGTAAATTCTTTTGAATCTCTTCAATAATACCAATGCCCTCCTGTATCACATTATTTTATTAAATAGAACACAGGTAAATATTTTATTTTTATGTTTGCCACTTCAAATTTAGGTTTGGAACTCACCCGCGATGAAAAATTACATAGTTATATTTAAACTTCACATTTTTTGATGAGCGCTGGGAATAAATATGTTAGAAATGAACATCAGGGGGTCCACCGAAACCAGTAAATTTTTGAAAGGGGTCTACGAGAAAAATAAGTTTGGGAACCTCTGGTATACTATGTAATATACCTCTGTAATTTTGTAATATAAACTAAAAATGTATACATCGTTTTAAGCCGTAATTATTTAAGAAGTAAACGCCTAGGCTGTTGACCAAACCGGTCTATAGTTTTATCAATAATCTCCGATTGGTTCTCTCATACAAACTTTCGATGTAAACTTAGAAGACACAAATGTAAAGACAAAGTTATAAACAATTGAACTATACATTGTGTATTTGTACCTATGGAAGCTCCGAAAAGAGTCCCAAGCGAGCATATCCACCTTAGGACGTCACTATTCAAAAGGTGGACAGATCTCTTCCCGCGTTTTGTTTACCGGTAAAATTAATTGTATTGCCAATTACTTTAATCCTATTTCAGGTTGGTCTTAAAAGTTTAATTAAATCAAGTTAGGGAACTTCCTATTCCTCTTAAACGAAATCTGTAT